AGCCAGTGTATTCCTTAAAATAGCCAATGTTTGTGGCTCAAAGGATGTCCAAGTAATCATTACAATTGCATTGGTCAGTCATGCATGCAACAATACCAAATCTGATATCTTCATCACATAGACCATATCCCTATCTATACTAGTGAGGAAAACTTCAGATAGCCATCTATCATATGCCATAAATTACAACTTTTTATCTATTGTGGTTTACATTCTATTCATTTAAAATGTTGAATAACTTATGGACACCCTATACTACTATAAGTAGTATAAATATAAGAAATGTTATTAGAATAATTAAATTGTGAATGATTTGTACATCAAAAACTGCACTTGGAAGAATAATATGACAATTATTCTTAATCATTTATCAGTCTACTTTACTATAATTAAATGTTGGTGTATCTCTATGATGGTTAAGTCGAGAGAGGTGGAATTGTAATAAAGTAAATAAAATGTGTCGACTTACAGTAAGAAATTGTTATAATGTAGTGATTCACAGAAGTTATATTCAAATGTATTGTGACAAAAATATTTTTTTCACTCCTCTAGTGACAAGAGAGACTGTTCCTCCAGAAGAAGAATCTTCAGATACAGTCTTTGACTGTAAAATAAAAGAAGAGAACTCTGATGGAGTACGAAAGGAAACTGAGGTAATTTGTATATTAAAAACTTTTATGATTATCTTAATTGAACAAAACAGCTAGATTCGATGATGAGGAACCCACTTTGAGACTAGTAATGGTTGGAGACAGCTTGAATGGATAATGAAGAAAATCTTTATCAGGTGATGACAAAACCTTGTCGAAACATTGTACATTTGCTGTTATGTTAAACTTATATTAAAGTATTTCTTCATTACCCATTCAAGCCGTCTCCAACCATTAAAACAGCTAGATATTGTTAGAGAGCTTTGATGCAGTATTGAAGTTGTATGATATCTCACTGAACTTCTTCAGCTTGTAATTTAATTTTATTAATACGTAATGTTCAAAATAAAAAATATATCCAGTTGTACACAAGAAAATACAACTTTGGCTTTTATATGCTCTTGTTCATAAAACTTGTGACATGAATGAATACTGTTTCAATACTGTGAGTTTATTGTGTATGAGTCATAATTTCTGATACTTTGATATCTGGATAATACTTAATTTTTATTTATTATATTTTATTGATTATTGATTTTCTACCTACATTGTAAAAAATAATTATTTCAATCCGAACATCCACCGATTGAAACATTATAATCAGTGAAATCTTGTTTTAAAAATTATACCATTGTAAGAATCCAACTATACATTTTGTTTTCAGTACGTTTACCCTTAATAACAGACAAAAATATAAATTATGTCTGTCTAACATCCATATGTCACTTCTCTGTACTCGCATTCTTCAGTCTTTATATCATTTAGAAATGTAATTGTCATGTTTATTATCTATACATTTATGATGAGACACTGTTTCTTGATTCTATAGTTCGGTAATATATTTCATTACTCTTTGCTAAATTGGTTTTCATTTGAAAGTTTTGAAGTTTCCTTTTTTGTTTCTTAAAGTGAAACTTAAACTTTTTAAGTCTGTCAGGTGAGCACATTTACTGTTTCTTTTTTGGTCATAGTTGGTATCTTTATTAATTAAAACCAACAGGTTTAGTGTTTCCTGTAGTTAGGTGTCTCATCAGTGTCATGTTGTACTGTAACATTATATCTAATGTACCTATGGTTATACTGTCACATTGTATGTAATGTACCTGTGGTTATACTACCACATTGTATGTAAAGTATCTGTGGTTATACTACCACATTGTATGTAAAGTATCTGTGGTTATACTACCACATTGTATGTAAAGTATCTGTGGTTATACTGTCACATTGTATGTAAAGTAACTGTGGTTATACTGTCACATTGTATGTAATGTACCTGTGGTTATACTGTCACATTGTATGTAAAGTATCTGTGGTTATACTACCACATTGTATGTAAAGTATCTGTGGTTATACTATCACATTGTATGTAAAGTATCTGTGGTTATACTATCACAGTGTATGTAATGTACCTGTGGTTATACTGTCACATTGTATGTAATGTATCTGTGGTTATACTGTCACATTGTATGTAAAGTATCTGTGGTTATACTGTCACATTGTATGTAAAGTATCTGTGGTTATACTGTCACATTGTATGTAAAGTATCTGTGGTTATACTGTCACATTCTATGTAAAGTATCTGTGGTTATACTGTCACATTCTATGTAAAGTATCTGTGGTTATACTGTCACATTGTATGTAAAGTATCGGTGGTTATACTGTCACATTGTATGTAAAGTATCTGTGGTTATACTACCACATTGTATATAAAGTATCTGTGGTTATACTATCACATTGTATCTAAAGTATCTGTGGTTGTACTGTCACATTGTATGTAATGTACCTGTGGTTATACTGTCACACTGTATGTAATGTACCTGTGGTTATACTGTCACACTGTATGTAATGTACCTGTGGTTATACTGTCACATTGTATGTAAAAGTATCATTGGTTATACTGTCACATTGTATGTAAAGTATCTGTGGTTATACTGTCACATTGTATGTAAAGTATCTGTGGTCATACTGTCACATTGTGTGTAAAGTATCTGTGGTTATACTGTCACATTGTATGTAAAGTATCTGTGGTTATACTATCACATTGTATGTAAAGTATCTGTGGTTATACTATCACAGTGTATGTAATGTACCTGTGGTTATACTGTCACATTGTATGTAATGTACCTGTGGTTATACTGTCACATTGTATGTAAAGTATCTGTGGTTATACTGTCACACTGTATGTAATGTACCTGTGGTTATACTGTCACACTGTATGTAATGTACCTGTGGTTATACTACCACATTGTATGTAATGTACCTGTGGTTATACTACCACATTGTATGTAATGTACCTGTGGTTATACTACCACATTGTATGTAATGTACCTGTGGTTATACTGTCACATTGTATTGTAAAGTATCTTTGGTTATACTGTCACATTCTATGTTATGTATCTGTGGGTATACTGTCACATTATATTTAACGTACCTATGCACTAGTCTTGCTGGAGATTCATTTTGAGCTAGTCATGGTATGTTTTTTATAAATTTTTATAAATCAGTTGGTGTTGATTTCTTATGGGTTTTATTTTTACCAGAAAACATAACATAATGTTTTGGGAGAACAAGGGACATAATGGTTCATTTCGACTGTCCCATCCTGTTAACTTAACGAAAACTATTTAATAAATAAATTAAAAAAATCTGAAAGCTAGCCCTAATCATTCATATATTTATCAAGCTTTCTCTTAAACTCACTAAAGTTTACT